AAGCGAACGAATTGTGATAGGCTTTAAAAGTGTTTAGTTTACAAAAATCTTATAATAGAGTGAAAGTGTAGCTTTAAAGTTGTCTTTTTTTCAGTTTCTGGGTGGAAAATAGGGGGCTTTCACCTCTGAATTTTCAGTAGCGCGGTTGGCGGGGGGTGGGTGACTTTTACCAGCCAACAGTATGTCTGGAAGACTGGGAAGGTCGAGTGTGAGACTAGCACTCCTATCTTGTAGAAACTACACCAATGCTACTGCAATTTTAAAGCTTGAAGGTCTCCTTTGTTCCAATTGGAATACAAGGAGGGCAAAAGAAAAACACACTTTGAGCTCTCGAATAGCTCAGTGTCAATGTCTCTGACTACAGCACGTTTTGTGTTCAGCATAACAGAACCATACGTCTGCTTGTGAAATACACTCAGGAACACTGTGCAGCCTGACTAGCAAAGGGAGAATGTAGGTATGTGTAAGCGCAATATCGCTTGAAATTAAGTCACGCGTAGATAAAGGCTATCCCAGTCTAGAACAAACAAGAAGCCGGTCACTGTTTCTACGGTACTATTAATAAACAAATCAATAATTATATATACAACAAACCTTAACGGTTTCAAGAGTACAAAGCACAACGCTTAACAGAAAGCAACGTACCGCTATCAGAGCAGAATAACGTTAAAACCAAAATTGCGAACTAGCCGGAATCAGACACGACCGTTCAGGTAAGCAGTCGGTAGAAGAATGAATCCAAGTAAGAGATAGACAGAGCATAGGCACAAAGATAGAATTTAATTGGCTACTTAACCAATCAATAAATAAGATAAACTCGACAGAATAGTACAAAGTAAGACATGGGTCACCAAAATAACAGTTCACAAAAGTACTCTGATTGGGTCATAAGTTCAACTGTCTGACTAAACGGATCAAAGTAAAAACACACACACAGTTCATTAAACAAGAGGGGATAGACACATTAGGCATGGATTATTGGGTTGCAACAACGCTAGGCTGATCCGGGACAGGTTGACTTGATTCAAGGATGGGAATTGAATTGATCTTACAGTATGTATATAGCTGAGTAAAAGAACATCTGGTGAACTCAGAGCATTCAGCTCTGAAAGGGAAATCATTCAAAGTCCTATACATGGTCCGATCAAACCTCTCAAAGGAAGTGAGATCAAGGCATCTGCTCTCATAGCTTAGGCACTAACGATCCAAAAGTTCAAACCTACGCTACATATATTTCAAAGAAATATACATCCAATCTTTGTTTTCACCATGGCCATCATATAAAGAGTCATTTGTTTCAATAATGAATTACCCTGTTACGTTTCTTATCCAAACTTACTGTTTATTTTTGTGAGTTACTACGCTTATAATCCCTGTTTTCCACTACTATGCTTTTTTTATCCGGACTTTCTGTCTACGTTTTTAATCGCTAATTGTATGAAAAGCAAAATTTCCTCAAAACGTATCCTACTATGTTTTATCCAGTATTTTCCGTCGACTGGAAGTACTTCTCGAGCCTTCTCATCCATTTACTATATATATATATATATGTACACGAATGCACAGCCTAATTGATAACTTTATCGAAAATGAAAGTTTTCTTTGCTGCAACTATTAATTTAATTTTTATCTATGATCCAGTGTGCATATTTCGTCATTAAAAAACAACTACATATTGCATCTAATTTGTGGATGGTAACTACCAGTGGAATCCCGGATGCGCATTTCGTCCTATTCGAGACTCGTCAGCTATTATTACATAATACATCTTACTGTGTTAATGGAATCAAAAGCCTATTTATGTAATGATGACAGTACTCTTTTGTCCCTTGAAATTATTTGTAAACTTTGGTTGTTGATGCATTCATATGTATGTACTCCGAGAAGCCTAATTCCCCGTCTTTGAAACCGAAATTAAATTATCATTGATCAAAAAAAGACGTCGTCAAACTTATAGGCCAGGACACATTGGATAGTTGATTCCTTCAAAGAAGACAAGAGACTTGGTAACGGACTGTTTACTGAGGAAAATCACACCATAATTTTACATTTCTGGCCACATTTAAGGTCGTCTAGGTCAATGGACAAAAGACTCTTCTGATTGGTTGTTGATTTTCCGAAGGTGACACATTGAGACGAAAAGTTGTCCAATAAGATTATTTCCTGATGACAACGTAAACTAGTTCAAGTTATGAGGGATAAACACTTCTACCTCTTCAGCCATTGACTTGAAGTGTTGATTTCAATTTAGGGTACTTCCTATCAATCTGCGTGTGCATACTGCTGATAAATCTTGTCAGTAGTACACCTTGCAGTTAACCTAAACTCATGTACTTTCACGTATGTTTCTGCACTGATGTGTTCGTTTTTATTTTGTTGTTTCATGCCTAGCAATGGAATCCTGGGTATGTGCATTTGGACCTATTTGGGACTTACCAGCCAGGTGGATGTAACTGCGATCCCCAGTAGCGCAGATGCATCCAATCCTTGTGACTTATGATTTCCAATGAAACTATATTGTTCTTCGTTATTACCATTCCTTTGTCTCACACCCCTGTTTACTGTCTGTATTATGTATTTCTTCTACTTCCTTCTCTTGCTTTGTGTGCTACATGGAGTGTGGCAACTTGAACTGCCGCACATATGTGCAAAGTTCTATGTCGAAAACAGACAGACAGACAGTGGGTGAGTGATGGATGTTCCCACTGAGACTGGAACTCACCATCCATCGTTCCAAGTGCCACAGCATCATCCACTAGACTACCTCTTTGTAATCACTAAAACTGAAATATAGGTCTATCCAGACTGAAGAAAGAGAGTAAGAAAAGAGAAATTCAGCACACTACCAGTAGCTTATTATTCAGTTTACAATTCATTATTCATTCAAAAAGACTATCTCCATACTCCCTCTTATCTCTGCTTGAAAGCGTATCACAGAGTTTTCGTCAGGAATTCCGAGTTGGTAGAATTTGGAATTCACATGTCATTGGATCAGGTCCCAGTGGCTCAATGGTCTACGAGCTTAACTTGTAACTAGGAGGTTCTGAATTTGAACCTCGCTAGCAGGTGGGTACTGATGGAGAGTTAAAGACTTAGAGGAAAAAACTGTCTAGTACTCCTTACTGTTTTTTAATAGTTCTTTAACTGACATCAATCCGTGATCGAAATTGTAATTAATTATTCCTGCTGTGAAGTACAGGATAAAAATGGTCCATTGAGACAAGTAATAGAGGAAACTGATTCTTATTTTCGTTATGTTGATGATACGTTTATTATTCTTGATGTGAAAGCTGACAAAAATGAAATGTTAATAAAATTTAGTGATGTGCACATCCATCACTCATCTTCACTTGTGAAGAAGAACATGATGGTAGACTACACTTCCTTGATGTCCAATTGAGCAAAAGAGAGGATGTCTATAGAAAACCTACATCTGTAGGATAATATACACATTTCCTCAGTTTTGTACCAATTCGATACAAAATCAATTTGGTCAGATGCCTCACGAATAAAACAAGACGTATCTGTACAGATGACTCCCTAGAAACTCAGTTAGTATATATCCGAAATACGCTGGTCCAAATGGGTTATCCAAGTAGATTTGTAAGGAGACACATGAAAACCGTGTATAATAAAGAGAAACTGACAACAGGTAAAAAGAAACAACTGTTCATGAAACTGCAATTTAATGGGGACGTGGCTAGCGAAGTCTTACATCTGAGATTATCGAGAGCAATAAAACAGACTTATACTGCCGCCACCACCCTTTGTTTGTCATTTCCAGCAAACCAATTATGATTGCTCAAGCGAAAGACAAGCTATCTAGCTGTGCCACTTCGGTGTTTATCTACCAATTTAGTTGCTCCTGTGGAGAGAGCTATATAGGGCGAACAACTAGACAGCTTAACAAACGCATTAATGAGCATCTTCCTTCATGGTTTGGAAAAGGTCAAATAAAATCTTTAGGAAGTTCTATTTTGGCTCATTTGATTGATAGCGGTCACCAAGTGGACAGAAAAGGGGCCTTCAGAGTTATTTGTCACATTCCACTGAACCTTTCGAACGGAATTCGAACCCACCTTTTTGCACATAGTTGAAGCTATGGGAATTCGAGAGAACAATCCTAGTCTTTGCATACAACAAAAGAAGTTTGTTTTACCTTTTTCTCTCCTTTGGTCTAGGTGAATTCTAATCAAAACCCTCCCACCCTTGTTTATTTTCCATTTCCTTCGTACTTTTATGATATTTATTTCAACCCTGATTATCTGTCCACTTCATCTCTTAAGATTTGACCTAATTTATTTATTGAATTGTCTACAGATACACATTCTTATCGCCACCTGCATAAACCTTGTTATCAATATTTTTTATCATTATAATCATCGTTATTAACTAAGTTCAAAACATTTACCACATTATTATTATCATTATTATTTGATCCACAAAATCACCGTCATTGGTTAACAATTTTTATAGATAAATCTATGTAAATTAGAGTAAAGCCTGAAGAAGATCGAAATGAAAACAACAATATTGTCTGCTTATATGTCTTGTTCTAAGAATTCACTGAAAAGACTAATTTTGATAGATTTCAACGCAGTTTTTTAATCATGAATCACCAAGATAAATTAGGAAGTTGTGAGAAACACAGTTGGTACTAGGTGGCTGTTTCGTTTCAGTTCGTATATGGAATGACAATGTGTTCACCACAGGAACTGAAAGATGAAGTTGTGGGTGTGTGCAGAGATTAAAAGTGTTAAGTTGTCAACATGCCTGGTCATTGTCTGTAGATTATGAATAATTCTCCAATTAATTTTGATTTATTTGAAAAATCAATTTGAAATATGAAAGTGAGATCACCGAGCGAAGTAAAGTTAATCATTAATTTCTCTATTTATCCTGGTATATAACTTAAAGCTATAAAAATTTACTGGCTTTGAACAGTATTTTTTTATTATTCATTAGTAAAAATAATGTTTCCCACCTATATATCTCTATAGGTTGATAGTAATTTCGCGGCGATTGAACATCAACAACTTGTATTCGATTTAGCTGTTGGACCACATCAGCTAAGACATGCATGTCATTTAGCCTATCGTCATCCAAAGTTAAAACTAGTACTCAATCATTGTGGATTACCTGTAGAATTTACTGCAAGCAGACCAGGTAAGTAGTTATATATGAACTATTCTATTATATTACATGCTGATGTATTTACTTTTCGTTACATTCGGTCAGTGGTTTTAATTTACTTGTTGGCCATCCGAATGCCGTAAACCTGGGTTTTTTAGGGCTTGTTAGCGCTCATCACTAAGGCATATCTGTAACACTGAAGAAATAAGTCTATGTTGGTGTTAGATGGTTGGAGGCGATCGGTAGGAAGCCTTGCTTGACCTAGGTTACGTGCTAGTTGGCACTCATCAGCAAGGCGTATCTGAGTGCCAACTAACACGAAACCTAGGCCAAGCAAGGCTTCCTGCCAATTGCCTCCAACCATCTAATACCAACAATTCACAGTGCACCATGATGGCGAGCCAGCTACCTAGTGGCATGTTGGCCACATTGCAAGCTTAACTGATAGAATTCAATCTGCACCGAACAAAGGACTAGACACATTACACTAGTTACTGACTGGTGGCGTCCAATCAAAAATAAATGTATGTTCTGGAGTCTGAAACTGTCATGGGATCGCCCATATCAGGATTAATAGCTGAAGCCGTTATGCAAAGATTAGAATTAATAGCTCTACCTATAATTAAACCGAAAATCTGGATACGTTACGTTGATGATACATTTGTAATAATTAAGAGAAATGATTTAGAATATACCCATAAATTAATAAACAACATATTTGAAGACATCAAATTCACAAGAGAAGAAGAATTAGATAACAAAATCCCATTTTTAGATGTCTTAATCAGGAGAACCAACACAGGAAATTTAGAAACACAAGTATATAGAAAATCAACGCACACAGATCAAATACTCAACTATACTAGCAATAATCCAATTACTCACAAACGAAACTGTGTGCAGACATTGTTTAAAAGAGTTCAAACACATCGTAGCACTCCAGAGTTGAAAAGAATGGAAGAAAAATACCTACAAACGGTCTTCGAAAAGAATGGTTATCCACAAAATTTCATCAAAAAGTGTTTAAAGTCGAATCAGAACACCAACAAGAAACCATCATCAAAGACCACAACAAAAATTCATTCTACCATACATGAGGAACATCTCTGAAATAACAGCTAGAGTACTGAAACCGTTTGATATAGATATAGCACACAAGCCAGTCAAATCGCTTAATTCGATATTATGCAAACCGAAAGATCCAACAGAAAAAGGAGTTAAAATTAACGTCATTTACAAAATAAATTGTATGAACTGTAACAAGCATTACATTGGCCAAAGTGGGCGTCCCCTTCGAATTAGAATCCAAGAACACAAATCAGCCGTGAAAAGACGCGATATATATTCTTTAGTATCAATGCATACAGACAATTATGGTCATCAATTTGATTGGGATGATGTCAAAATCTTAGACAGAGGAAACACCAAAATTGCAGTCAGGGAATTCCAAGAAGCCTGGTACTCAAACGAAAACGCAATTAACAAACACGTTAATATAGACGAAATATACCAACAACTAATAAAAAGTAAATCAGGTGACCAAAAAGTTTAAAATCCAAGTCAATAGAAAATGGTCAATACATATGTAAAGATGGTTACCGGGAGACGCAATTAAATCACTCATGAAGAAATTTTAATCATTTCACTTTATGCTAAATATGGCGCTGAAGATGTTGTCGACGAAAGCTCCGCAACTAAACCAACCAGCTCAGAGAACACTATTAATTGCAAAACTGTTACTCACTGTTGAATTTAGAGACTTCTGTTACTGAGCAGTTATCATCCTTTTGGAATTCGATTATAAATTCTAACTGACTGGTTCATTGAATTCATCAGAAGGTCATCTGTTCCAAATACCACAGTCCTTGTAGCACACAAAGGAAAACAAATGAGAGGGAAGAAAAAGATCCAAAAGAACAATAATTAGCAGGTGAAAGAATGAATTGTAACACGGAAAAACATGAGGGTTTAATAGATCTGGGAGACTACAAACATTGAATACATCTTCGCCATGGAGAACGATATTGAGTCATATTAGCAATTGTCTGCAGCCACTGGTTTTTAGGATTCTGAGGAGTCCAGAAAGCAGGCTATATATATGTACCTTTATATAACTAATTGTTAAAGATACCATGAACTGATGCCAGGTTTTGGTTTGATTACCACTGAATCTTTTCCAACCTGTTTTTGTGTTAGTAGTTAACATTTCCGTCGAGTAAGGCAGGCAGTGGCCATGTATGTGCAACAAATGTCCTTACCATCTCAATCGATGTAGCTGCACATCTTAGTCAGCTGACTTTTCCTCCTTAGTTGACACTCGACGTAACCGATCAATATTTTTCGGGCATTTGAGAACGTAAATGAATTCGAAAGTGCGATGGGGGTATAACGTGGTGGATCGCAACATTATTCCAGGAGTTTTATTGGTTGTAGGTTTGATCACGAGCCGAAATCAGTTGAAGAACCACTGGGAAATCAAGGAGTGTTATGCAGATGTCTCGTCCTAGTTTAGAACTCTTCTTCTGCACGATCCCATCGAGGTTGTAACCCAGGGTCTTTTTATTACAAGGCGAGGTTGTTGATCACTCAACCACAGGGACTCGATCGAATGACCCAGGAATCCCAACTTCTGCGAATTCGCGATATACATGTAGGACAACCATCAGACCCAATGTCACGGGCGAGTAAATGTCTTCTTGGCGGATTTGATGGATCCTGCTGGTTATGACTTCTCAGGTAACTTACTACAACATAGAGACAGTCGCTAATTTGAGCTTCAGAATAATTTCAACTGTTGGTGTTTTCAGGGATTGGAATAGTTACGGGGTTGACTATGAATGAGCTGATATCAGTTAGAGACCCAATGTACACTCATTTTGACACGCAACACATGAAGTGCAGTTCAATCCAATGTTGAATTAAAGCATGAACTAGAAGGAATTGTCAATATTAGATTCTAAAATGAAACGGAACACCAAATTTGCCTCAAGTTAATCATCAGACATTGTCTAGGCGACTGTGAACTAGTAGTCGACATGTCAACGGAGACAGAACATTTCGGTCTAATCAATCAAAGGGGAAATCAAAATGGAATTTTAAAAAAACAAACAAACAATAACCGACACCCATTGCCTCAAGAGGTGGCTCTCGTGGTTCAAGGGGTGTGGCGTTTGAAGCGATCAGTACTGATTCACTAGGAATGCAAGTACGCTCAGCTGACGAGTCCCAGATAGGGCGAGATGCTCATCTTGGATTCTACTGCTGCTAGTCATCATCCGCCAAATTGCTTCAAAAAAGACAATAGTTTACATGTCAATATTTAACGGGCTTCTCAGATGTGTGCCTTCTTCTCACCTAATATCTGTTACAATAGATGTGGTTAAATGCTGCTTAACCAACTGAACCAGGATTCTGATTATTAGCCAAAGAAATTAATCTCCAGAATAATAAGATAAACAAGTAAAGATAAAGTAAGACTGAGTCCAAAGTTGTGCCTGTGCGAAGGTTGACTTATCGCTGATATTCTTCTTCAGTATCTTTCAAGGTCATTTACGGGACTTGTTCAAGTCTATTGAACAAGCGTGTTCTTTTATTAGAAAAGGGGGCAGCTGTTGGTAAAATTGTGTAACCTGCTGGAAATCCTTTTGGTGATGCGCAGTGCAAGTTTTTGACCCGTATAAAAGAACTGACTGACTGACTTCACATTTGTGTTGAATACAATCCGAATCTTGTTCTTTATGCTGCCTGACTGAGTGACACCAGAAGATTTCCAAACTGGTTGACGAAGGCGTATCTTGCCTTTCTGATTCTGGCTGGCTGGCTTTAACATCTTCATCCGTTCTGACTGCCTGAGGTTGAAACCGTGCTTCTTAGATAAGTGAAGGAAGTAACTTCTGTCTAATCTTTCCTGTTGATGGTGATTGGTGCTGGTTGTTGTTGCCATTGCTGTTGGTTGGTTGTTTGGTTGTCTTTATCATCTCCGTCCTGTCTTCGCTGCTCACCTCTTCAGCCAGTTTGTTTCTTTTCGCCTGTGAGTAATCGAGTTTGTGTGACATTAGACATATTTCATCCACACGGGAAATCCGGATCTTCTAGATTCTTCTTATCGGTAATCCAACGTATTCCTGTCTTCCCACTCCCCACACATAGTCTGACACATAACCCAGCCCACCATGATTAGGAATATCATCGGTAATAATAAGCAGACTGCCTTGTCTTATTCCTGTAAATTAGTAATTTCCCTGTAGTAGTTTATTTATGTGCTTATAATTAATTTTGTTTGTTGAAAAATTGCTAATTATTTTCTCTGTATTGATTTGGTTCTTCTTCTTTTTCTTCTCCTTCTCCTGTATATGTATAGAGGAAAATTTAGCATGGAAAAACTGGCGCTCTGATCTGGAACTACTCAGTCGATATCCAAATGTCTATTGTAAAGTGACTGGTGCCACTGGTCGTATACAAAAATCTTCAACAACATCATCATCACCTAATGATGACACGTCAGACGCTTACAGTATTGATCACTGGTGTGCCAGTTCAGCGTTATCGCATGCAATCAGTTGTTTTGGCCCTGATCGTTGTTTGTTCGGTTCAGGTTGGCCTGTCTGTCGACTGTTCAAGCCAAGTCAAACTGGTTGGCCAGAACAGGCATCCGCTTCTGATCTACACACCTACGATATACCTGGTGAGTTGGCGGCTAAACGGTCAAGACGATCAGTTCCATTGAAAGTTCTCAATCTATGGGAGACCGCTAGGCTAGTGGAGCATGCAATGGGTGATGCTGGTTACGGTTCAGTTGAGGATAAGGAGAAAATATTTTCTAAAAATGCACAGAAGGTTTATAGTCTGTCAATTCGACCGTATGGTTCGTGTTCAGAATACAAGCCTAAAGAATAAAAGCAGATTGTATGCATATATACTGACAAAATTGAATTATATGATAACTTTCGTGTACAAAGTGTATATTTTGACCACGGTGCATTTTTTTCTTAGAGCTGCTATTTGAGCATGTTGATTTTGTTGATCTTCGCGAAAATTATTATTCCATTCAATGTGTACATACCCTTTTTGTATATATATAGAAATAAATCCGAAATTTTCATTTTCTTCCATATTAGTTTGTTTATTAGATGTATCACACAGTGAAACAGTATTAGCATTTACTGGATAACAAAGTTTCGAACACAATTCATTATTGTTCATAATCATATCACCATTTATAATCACACGACTTCGAAACTTGAGTTTTATAGTCTTCTTTGTTCCCTCCTATTTGTCGTCATTGGGGTAGTCGAATTTTCGAGATATCCCCCTGGACAGGTGTTGAATCATTCCTATTACACGTGTTTGCAGTTGATTCGATAAATAAAGCTTCCGTTATTAATCTCTCCCTCCACCCTGTGACATTAGATTTTAAAACTGTCATCCTTAACCAGCTTGTTAATATTTTGGTTGACAGGCACATGGACTCATGTGAAAAATGGGCCAAATCCATTTTATCTAACTCACACCACCCTCTTCACTCACAACTCTCCCCTTGCATCTCATCAGGTAAAACAAGAAGCCAATATAAAAAACTATATGCTCGCACCAGCAAGTACAAAAACTCAACCATACCCTACTTAGCTCGTGTTCTGTATGATAAAGAAAGCATTAGGCGTGACAACTATAATTCATTAAATAGTCATTAGTACAACTGGATCTCATCTTTCCAACCCACTTCATCAATAGGTACAACATTTCCTTTCTTTCTGTTCCTTTTCTCTCTCTTCTTTTTCTGTTATGTGCTGCTTTGTCTCTTTCTCTCGCTTACGCCAGTTAATAAGACAGCTCCCACTTTTCTAACACCTTCAAACACTGTTTAAGCTTTACCTTTGCTACTGAACATGCCAATGTATTGTTGTAATAATGAACTGTGGTTCCCTCAATCTATGTAGAATTCTATTTATTGATAATGTACTAACTGGATGCAATACTGTAGTAAAAATGCTGAGAATTCCATTCTGTATCACAAGTACTGTTTTGGAATAAAGCAAATTATTATTATTATTATCCTAATGTGTGGTTGTGTGTAATTGCATGTAGTGAGTGGTATAGCTGAACTATTCCCTAGATTTCTTATCTTATTCGGTTCAACCAATCTAGATTTTGCTAGGTTTTTATGTTTGGCTAGTCTGACTGCCCCTGTTCTACTACTTTGACCTATGTATTTGACTTGACAATCATTGCAGGTAGGGTGTTAAATAAACTAATTTATTTTGTTTTAAAGGCTCCACAGGATTGATCCTTCAACCGACAAAGCTTGTTTCTAGTTGAGTTTGTGGGTTTGAATGGCAGGCACTTTTATTCCTGCCTGCCTTGTTAAGAATTCTGCGTAAGGTGGTTTCCGAGGTTCCTTCCTTGTATGGAATTACTACTGATGACTTAGATTCCTTATTGTTGGTGTTGTCTTCCGCATGTTTGACATGCATGTCGTCATTAATATTATTATTATCACTATCACTATCATTTTTATTTTATTTTTACATTTCTCTACATATTTCTTGACTAATTTATCAGGGTATTCATTAAGTTTCAAGGCCTCTCTTATATGTATCACTTCCTGTCTTAGATTTTCCTTGGTACTACATAGTTTTTGTGCTCTATTACTTAAACATTTAGTCAATCCTATTTTCACTGACCCGGGATGGGATGATTGGAAGTCCAAATATCTGTTTGCATGTGTGGGTTTCCTGTAAACACTAGTGTTTAACTTTCCATCTTCTTTCCTTTTTACGCTGCAATCCAACATTGGCAGTTCCCCTTCCTGACTTTCAAATTCATAAGTGAATTGAATTGCCTCCACTTTTGAGTTAATGCGTTCGAAAAATCTTTCTTTATCCTGTGTTCTAAGTACAGTGAATGTGTCATCTACACACTTCCCCCTCCATACTTTTGGAGTGGGGGTGAACTTATCAATCGCTATGCTTTCCGACATTTTTCATTTCATTTTCTTTTCAACATTATTGTTTTCCCTCTGGAGAGTGTTGTCAAGCTGGATGTGCAAGTGGAACATAGGACTTCAGTAGAAGATCTCCAGTTGTCCTGTTCTCTGCAGTCTTCTTTCGCTGGCGACCTCATGATTGCCTATAGATCTTCATCACCTTCTCATACGATCTACTCCATGACACCCATTCAGTTTTGACTCGAGTGTCTTCCTGTTGCATATTGTCACCCAACAGTCTCCTCAGTGTGTGTGTGTGTTTCTATCTAATCCATCTCCATTTCCTTCGGCATATTCGTTCAGCAATAGCTTCTTGATTAGTTCGTTCCCGGGGCTCCTTGATTCTAATTCTTCCTAGCTGGTCTTCTGATCCTCAGTATGGTGATAGTGATGGTACTGTTGTGTCCTTCGAGCTGGTTGATTTAATTGCGAAGCTTTCGTCGTCCTCCTAGACAACATGTTCAGCTCAAGCTTTATTAACGAAGTGAACTTATTTGAATTATTCATCAATGATATAAGTGGATCTATTGTCGTGGTTGTTTGTTAATGTGTATTAGTATCGATCATTTTTATTGACTTGAAATTTGGCTTTTTTTGTCATATTTTGTTTATTTTCCATCAGTTGGTAAATGTGTCTATTATTGATGACCGCTAATTCGTCTGAGTAGCAGCAGCCTTCTAAGAAATCCCTGGCATTTTTGATTTTCTCCACCCAGCTCAGAGAACACTTAAGTCATCAAAGTCCTGCTGTATAAATATCTGCTATTTTCATAAATTCCTCGTAATCTGAAGTCAGTTAGAATCGAAGACTTCTCGAAAGTTATCTGCTGTCATTAACCTCTAGATATGACTATGAGGTTCATTAAATGCCCCCCAAAACAATCACTTGAAAGACATCGAAATTCGATCGATAGATAACGACTAATGCTAGCTATTTAATTTATTTATGTATCCACAGAAGCGCTATTTAACTGAAAACTCTCTGGTCATTGTTTCGGCTTGTTGGAAATTTGTGAAATGATACTTATTCAACCCTTTCAATACTTTAAAGTGTTTTGTTTAATTTATTTCTAGATTGACCACCGATTGACTTTAGTTAGGGGACGGTTGAAAACCAGGGAAAATTAGTTTAGTGTTCACTAGCGATGACTGACTACAAGATGAGGTTACCTGAAACTCTGGTTGGAGGTTGTGACTAGTCGGGTCCATCGAAGTTGTGTGTGAGGATAGACACTCGCCGATAACATTGGATGGCGGTGGTGCTATTTATCGCGAATTCCCTGAAGTTAGAATCCATGAGACGGCTTTTGGATTCTATCCCAGTTGGTGTGTGGTTTGCGGAGCTCTCCTTTTAATCTGAGGGTTGTGTGTTCGATATATGGTAGAGTCGAGGGTGTGCACTACTGAAGAGTATCAACCAGGGACGAAACATTTGTGTTGTAATCCATGGTTTGCTTGGCTCAGATAATAAATCTTTACAATATTGAGAGATCTATAACAAATTGATTTTAGCTAGAGAGCTAAAGAATGTCAGAGAATATAGAACAGCTGTCTCGTCTCAATTTCAGACTCTTCAGTAGGACACCCCTATGATTCCATTAGGGGTCCAACTTAGGACCTTCAGCTTACAAGGTGAGCTCAAATATCATCAGCCGTTCGGCTGTGTAGAAAATCAAAAGAAGTGATTCAGCGAAGAGACTCTTTTCAACGAATTTATTATCAAGCTGTACAATCGTATATATATATATATATGTATATATATATGGTTTTTAAGTATTTATATCCGGTGAGGGAATTGAATCACAGGTGTGTATGCATAAAATAATAAAATTATTATGAAATGCAATTAAAACTAAAATATTTGTGATTATAATCATAGTTAAATGTTAAGTGGCAAGACAATTAATGTCATATATAGAATAATTCATAGGATGTATAGAGCTTGCAATAGGTGTGCAATTATAAGATTAGTAGGCTAATCGAATAAAATAAAAACGTTACGTAACATAGAGTGAAATTTGATAAAACAAAATTTAGCGTTGCAAAACAGAACTGATTTAGAATGGCAAGGGAAATAATACCGGAGACAATTCAAAGTGAGAATAGTAATAGTAACAATTGACGTAATAAAGGAAGAGTATACAAAATGAATAGACAAAACGAAAAAATTGGTAGCACCAAAATATGATTTGGGAATACCTCACATAAGCATAGACGGATTAAGACCATGAAAGTTGGAGGGCAGGGGTTGAACAAACAAATTTTTCTGTACACAGAGATCTGGCTTTTCTGTTTCAATAGCCAAAGCTTCAGCAATACAGATGAGTTATGTACGTAGTGATTTGGGCCAAATATCGCCAATTGACAAAAGTTAGAATTGTTGGCTAATTGTTTTCTGTCCCAGTGAATGAATGATCAGTAGGCTTACCTTGTAACGTGAAAGTTCTGGATTCGATTCCTAGCGGTGGAGTCACGTGTGCATACTGATGAAGAGTCATAGACAAGAAAGAAACGGCCCTCTAGTACTCACTGGTTTTAATACTTCTCCAACTGAAGTCAAATTTTAATCAAAATGTGGTAGTTTTTCTTGAATCTTCTAAATATTTTGAATAAATATAGAGGTTTTTTAAAGCCATTTCTGTCTTTGACAAATCTGAATAGTAATATTACACATCAAAATATAACATAATGTTATGCAGAAACACTGAAGATCGAATGGCCAGAAAGCACTGGCGAAAAAGTAACGAAAAGCCGATCGCTCAACAAATATGCAGAAGAAAATGGAGATGGATTGTGCACATGCCGCTGAGGAGACCGTCGAGTGACATTGTGAGCCAGGCGATCGCTCGAGTGGAATCTGACTGGGAGACGACGAGTGAGTCATTCTAGGGTGGCAACATGGAGGAGATTGTGGGGCGAGAAGGACACTGGAGAGATTATGGGCAATCTTGTGTCCAGTTGAAGAGAAGAGAAGCAAAATAGAACAAATCAGCCAACTTAGAGAACGCAACTTATTCAGAGTGGAAATGTGCTGTTGGAGCCCTATGTTCCAATTGGAACCCAGTTGAACAATAATAATAATATTCATAAA